CCCCAAAACCCCAAAACCCCAAAACCCCATTGGTGTAAGATAGAGTTTGAATTGAAGCTATTTAAAATACAAATTATAAATTATTGATAACAGTAAAATATTACGAACTTAAATATTTGCTTGACTCATTTGAGAGTTTTTCATTCCCATAGAAAGATAGAGAGAAATGCAGAGTACCGATTCCCACTAGAAATATTCATCTAAAAATCAATCTCAGGTCAAAGTCAGACAAGATAAATTCGCTTAGTTCCAAGATGAAGAGCAATAAATTGAAGTATATCAAGATAAAAACTTTGACGATTCAAATCGTAATCATCAAGATCTGAAACAAGATTCTCTAAACTATATAGATGAGATGAGATTCGAATAATAAAGAGGGGCAGGCAAGAAAATCATAGTCAAGTCAAGTTCTAGCGTTTCTTCTTTTTCAGAATCTAAATTCATACTAGCTAAGAGACGTCCTTTATCAATGTGGACCATGATTGGAGTTTTTTACTGGTTTTTGAATTCCCTGTTAGGTTTCTACATTGTTCTTAAATTTTAAGAACCTCTTTAAATAGAGTACCCACTGGCTTATGACAGCATCCTAGCTTTCTCGCTAAAATGGATCACAGCTGCTATAATTTCAATATTCATCCTTGTGTTTTTATGCTTGATCATCAAAGTATTCTCTAGATAGGAAACTTACTGTGAAAGCACCATCGGAGCTTTCCCTACTTTATACTTATTAGTCATTCACGTACAATACATGTTCTCCTTGTACTACTGTGTATTAATCGTTATGAGACTGTATCAAAATGAATACGATAACTTAGACAACACTGAAAATCTTAATTTGGAGTTTAACTTGAAGTTACTGATAGCAATATACTGTGGCAATGAAATATTGGTGAGCTTGTCCATTATAGTCCTTGCACTTTATCATATATTTGGAGGTGGTCTTAGAAGGTCGCATCATTTAGAAGAGCTTGAGGGTGATGCATTCGACATTGATGATAAGTAAGTGCAAAAGCTATAATAAGAACTATAAGAATCAAGAATTAGAACTGAAAGTCTGAGGAAGGAAATGTCTATAGGATATTAGGATCCAACAAGGCTTAGCTAATTAAAAGAAGATATGATTAGAGAGATACTGTAGGATTCTTAATAAAGGGTGAGGTCTGTTTCTCATGACCCCTATCAAAATATAAAGCAGTAGTCAATTTATGGTAATAGCCAGATAGAATCTCCTTAGGTTAGGAAATCTCAAAGCCCTGAATCTTATAAGCAAAACTAATCAGCTAATTTATATGGATAAGATGTAAGTTCATTTAAAGATGACAAAATATCTAGTTTCTTAAGTATGCAAATGAATTTTAAGGAGAGGGCAGATAAACCGACATGAGGAATGGAAACCTGACTCAGCTCTCTTCTTTAAATAAGTAATAATCTCTAGCTAACACAATTTTAGGGCTTAATAGCAAAAGTACTTGAACTTTTAAACAACCAGAGAAAATATCCCTAATTACCAATCGAACTTGAGAGGATCCCATTCACTGCAAAAGACTAATGATCAGTCCTTCGACAGACCCTCATTCTAGCAAAACAATGGGCAGCAGAATGACATGAGAAAGAGTGATCCAAACTTCAAGTTGATTCTTGAAGCTACTATTAATGAGGAGGAGAAGAAAGACTCAAATACATCAAGAGATAATAAGCAAGAATGAAGATTATAATAATTGTGAATTAATTGTTGGAATAGATTCATTACTAAATCATTTATAGGTTTAAACATATCATAAATCAATCTTTTCTCAATCATTTTCTGCATTCCTAAGTCACTATTTACAGATCAAGCAAAACTTGGATGTACACTTCTGGTGATGACTGCTTATTTCATACCTTTCCGCGCTTGATCCTAGTCTTAATCCTCCTCCCTGATTAAGACTGTGAGATGGCTAGACCGAGTAATCATATTTTCTTTAAGAAAGTAGCAGGTTTCTATTAATGTTGTATAATGTCTATATTTCATCCTTATACTACTACTGCCTCATTTAAGTTAAATTGAAGTACTCTTAGTTCATTGCCTAGGTTGGATTCGGCTGTTGTGGGATTACAATGCTTGGTTTTAGTTCTATGTTTGGTGTAGCTTGATGCACAGTCACTTATGGTTCTCTGATAATGATCGTCTTCGGAGGTTACTGTTATTGCTAGTTGTTAATATTAAGCATCTTAGACTCAATCTCTAGTACCTTTTATGAAAGTTTTGTGATTTCAAGTGATTACTGCTTGATTTTCTCATTTGATTGGACTTCTTTATCTGACTTTCTCTTTTTGCTTGAATCTTAAACAACAAGCACTCTTCTGTAGCTGAGTAAGTCACTGGATGAGGATATATTTGAAAAGCCAGACTGCATTGAGTTTTTCTTCAAGAATATTGGACTGTGCCTCTTCGAAACTTTGGGCTTCTTGAGTTTATCTTAGCAGCAAGCCTTTGCGTTATTTATCAGGCCAGATGGAATCTTTTTCTTGGGTTTCTTACTTAACTTAGGCACTCTCTTTTTTTGGGTATTCAAGCACTCCTTCTCAGATGTAAGTGATAGGAAATCTTGACTGGTGGTTTTCATTGGATCCTAGTTCAGATTTCTCACATTTGCGTTTTATGGTGACATTAAGAGATTACTTGGTAGCTCGAACTCTATTTCCTTGATGTTCATTGGTTCCAGATTATCATTTTGGACATTGAAGGTAGGGGGATTCGGTAGAGTCTAATGTTATTGTAACTACTACTAGTGCTAGTGATTCTGCTATTCCAGATCTTTATTTCTTGTTTCTTAAATCGTGAGCTATTGCTCTAGTTCGCATATCAGATTGTTTTAGTAGTTCAACTTCATGTCCCTTTAAGATAAGCTTGTTTAGTTGATTCTCTCTTTAAAATTAATGACAAACTCATTTGATTCCTTCTGATCAAATCTCTTAAAAGATTTATAGCTATTAGAATCAACTATATCCATGAAGCATTCCATAAATTTCTCATAGGAAAATGCTTGTTCTTACGATTCATCCTTCAAACTCTTGATTGTATACAAGGACTAGCTCTCAAGGCTAAGCTTTCCTTCTTGCCAGATATCATAATCGTCAAATACACACAATCGTTATTCGTGATTCTTAGGTCTCTTTGTTTGCACTAGCTTCATGAGTATCTTGGCATTCTTCTCTGAGAACATATCTCTCTTAATCTTTATATTCTTTTCAACAATCTTCATTTGATCATTTATATTTATCTTGCTGAAGTACTTCAAGATCTCTTGATCATTAATGTGATCTAGGTGGAATTTATTTAATGAATAGCGGAATGCAACTACGCCTTCAATTCGATTTATTAATTCTTAGTTGTTTGTGATATCAATGATGTAATCATGCATATATTCAATTTTATCAGAAATACTGAAGGCAATAGATTGATGGAGTTGAGCTACTTAGTTCTATAATATTATGAGCTTTTACTTTGCCATTTTTTCAGAATCCTTAAGCTATTTGGCACTACTGTTCTTTATAAGTTATTTCAGAAAAAAAGATTTATTAGCTGAGGAATTAGTTATCTAAATTTTTTATAGAGAGGAGAATAAGATTTGAGCATTAAGGAGTTGATGCAGCGTTTGATTTAAAATGATTTGAGTATTATCTACTTTCTTCGATTATCTTTGCCATTTAGAGAAAAACTAGTTAATCTTCTATTTATAACTGCCAATTACTTTCTGAATAATTAACTTTAAGCACTTTTACTTAAGTTTAAAGTTCCTTATCTAACTATCTTACTTTGTAATTAATCTGCTTAACTTATTGAAATATTGACTTAGGATAGATTTGTGCTTCATTAATACTAGCTATTTAAGAGATATAGACTTAATCTTTGAAGTCTTATCAATTTTGAACCTATTAAATACATATCTCTTTAGGTGTTATTCTCTAAAAATATCAGACTAGCTATTCAATTTTTATTCCATACTTTACAACTATATACTTCTATTCCATTGATAGAGCACCTCTCTCTTTTATGATTATATATTCTTTATGAAACAGACATTCATTTTCTTCAATGAATTCCTTAATGCTCTTCTTTTTTAATAAGATTCCTTCCAAGTTTTAAAATTAAGCTACATTTAACCCTAGACTATCTTATTACTTAACACAAAAGCTGTTTTGATAGTACTTTTTGACAAGATTTACCATTTGTGAATACATGAGGCAAGCTAAAGAGTGCATTATTATTGTTTAATTATCGAGAACTTTTAAATAAGAATTTATCTTTTTAACTTATTTTCAGAGTTTTATTGCTACTCCTTTGAAATTTTTGTTAGCTATAGTTATTAGGTGTTCTATTTATATTTCTAAAAAACTTGAAGTAATCTGTATCTTTCTTTTTTTTTACCAAATTTAATCATAGTCTTAATGCTTCTCTGCTTATTAGCATAAGAATTTGAATTTTCTTTTAAGATTTGGATAAACTACCTTTACTATCTCCTTTAGTGATTCTTGATTACTAATGCAATCTACAGAACACTCGATACTTTTAACCTTTAATGCAGATACTCCCTAATTAAAGATGATATATTATAGCAATTTTTACTTTTATTAGCCAAGCTGATCTAACTTATTAGATTGTAATATACTATCATTGGCAAGAGACCGAGCTATCATGTCATTCTCGTAGATTCTTTCATTCATCTATTAGAGTCTTTTATTCATCACTAATTCGTAGAAACTTGATACTTTCTGCCTCTAATCATTTTTCTCGATAAAACTTCTTATCTTATTCGTAGCCAGAATCACATTAATCTATAAATCATATGTAATTAAACAACTATCCTTACCTCAACAATTGAGTTCTTAATTCTATCGATGCTTGTGATCGAAGATTTCCTGTGATGCTAAAATATATTACTTTGAGCCAAGTTAATATTCTTATCTTCTATCATAATATTCTTATTGCTTATAATTCCTTATCTACTATTATCTGGCAATTAACTTGTGACACTTTGAGCTGTTGAGTAATTCTCATTGTTTTGCTATAGAATTTAAATCCTGTTAGGATCGTTTCTAGTCATTTGATTGATTTCATTGCAGTTGATATACGTATTGTTCTATATGGAGGACTTGTGATTATCCATTTATCTAGCTGAGTCCTATACGCTATCGATTGGTCTAGAAAAGGATACTACACTTTGCTAGCCGAAAAGATAAGGAGTGCCTCTTTCAATACTCTAACTATTAAGTGATGCCATTGAGTTGGAATGCTGATGATTTGTAAACTTGATATGAGGAACTAAACTTATTTTTTCATCCTGGAGTGTAGCCCATTGACCCTGCTTTTCTGCACTTTAGGTCACTAGATAGTTGAATAGCGAGGATTAAGAAGCTTTGATTTAGTCCTTACTTGGACTCCCACTATAATTCACGAGTTAACTCTATGAGTTTTAAGTCGGAGAGAATGGTGATTTATTCCTATTTCTCAATAGAGTGGACATTGAGCTCTTTGAAATATTCTCAAACTGCTAAAGAGATTCCTCAATTGCTTCTAAATTTATCAAGCCACTATAAAGGGGATCATTTCCAGCCTGATTTTATCTCATTTTAGCTTTTTAGTCTCCCTCGAAAGTCATGTCATACATCTTTTTCATATTCTCTTTGTCATCTCTCGCTGTTTAGCTTGGCTTCTTCTAGTGAAGTAACTGCATTGGCATCTCATTTTAGGTCTTGTTTTTCTTTCTCTGCATTCTATTTGCCTTGAGTACTTTGAAAGCTCTTTAGATCAAGTTTACTGAGTAGTAAATTTGCGCTATTTTATTGAATTCTTCGTCATCTTCGTGGCTTATGTTGGTCTAATTTTCAATAACTACTATCGATTCATCCCCGTACACCGGGAACCTCTTCATTGTGTTCAGCTTTGATTATGAATTCTGACTAGTTATGTTATAAGAGGTGCACTGACTGGTATTGGCTTAGCTGAGGCTCACATTATTGTTATTGTTAAAATTCATAAATTGCTGATTGACCCAATTGAGTTCTTTCTGCAAAGTTGACTAGGTCAGTTCTTCTATTAAATTTCTAGAACATATACTTAGATCCTAGTGATTCAAGTTATTAGTTTGTGGATTCATCATACCAAATATATCTGCGTTAAGTTATTCAACATTCACGCTCTGGTTTGGTAATTGATAGTTTGCAAAACTTCCACTTGCATTCTAATTATTAGAGATGAAATTATTGAATTATGAAGACTTAGAATTTGGGTTATGAGTTGGTCTTTTCTTTACATTGGCATTCAATTATTTTTAAGACTATGTTTATTTAGATGATTTTTGCTGCTAATAGTAATAGGGATGCTGGTTAAGATTCTAACACTGAGTAATTCCTGATGTGGATGTGATCCCTGTGTTTTTTATTTGCGATTTTGAATTTGAACGCATATTCGTTAATTATTTATTTTTATCAATTTACTCATATTATACTCCATGGGGTTTTGGGGTTTTGGGGTTTTGGGG